CGACCGTTGAAAACAATTGAGCCGATGGAAACTTTCAGCTTGCTGACATGACTTTCTTCTGCATGGTAACAGCGGTCTCTTTTGAGACAAGCGTAAAAATAGCTCCACCCAAGAAATAAAGTTTTAGAGCTCTTGGTTTGAAACAGCTCTTAACAGTTTTACCAAAACAAGTTTTACATGCTTGCTTGTTTTCGATTTGAGAGTTTTTCCTTGCACAGTTGAGTCTCATATTTCCTTGTCCGCGCCGCTTCATCAAGTTAGCGAAGCAGCAAAGGAAAAACCTGACCAGTGTCGTCGACGAACTCTGGTGTACTCTGCAGCCCGCTTGTACTTGCCTCGTGCTGGCCTGCTTGTCTCCAGCTGAGGTGGCAGCCCTTGCTAGCTCTTGTTTGGATAATCAAGAGCAGATCGAAATTGCGCTAGTTTGGCTTGCCCTTCAAGTACTGCATCGCTTCCTGCAGGTCAGTCGTCATGCAACAGGACCCTGATGAGTCCTGCACTAGCCCGGAATCCTCAGGCTTGCACCCTTGGAGTCTTCTTTCAGGGGGGAGTGCCGAGCCTCCAACGGTGTTTCCAAACGCTCCAGAGGCCTCTGAAGGGGACTTAGGATCTGAAGTCCTTTCCCAGGATGCTGGATGGGTGCATCAGCCTGGGGACGATGCTGCAGGGGTTCCCGCTGCTAATGCATCCTTCGTTGCGTATCTTGAAAGTCTTTTCGATGATGCGGAAGGCGAGGCTGACTGGTATGCCCCGGTTGCACTGGAAGCTGAATCTCAGGCAGAGGACTTTCAGTTTGTGAGGAGCGAAGCAGCCTCCTCAGCTCCAGAGCTGCCGCCTCCGGCTCTTGCTTCGCCTTATGATGAATTAGATGTGCAGAGGGAGGCTGCAGAGGTTTCTTCCCGTGTTTTCGCTGCCAACCTTCCAAAGCAGGCTTGGGAGGGGCCGACATGCTTGAGCTATCCTTGGGAGCGGCCGGCTAAGCGTAGAGCTACGGTGTTGGGTTTTCTAGATGTCCTTGAACCTGCGGCAGAAGAAGCCTTGGAGGATCATCAGCTCGGAAAGTTGCCTCCTGTAGCTAAAGCTTATCTCCGTCGGCTTCCTGTTGCGCGGGAAAGTTCTGATGAGAGAACTCATGCCCTTAAGAGGTTGAAGTTCTTGATTATGTGGGATCCTGACACTACGAACTTGGCCTCTTCGCTTTCGGGAGCAGCTACAAGACTCATGGATGATGCTCTCGTGCAACAGTCTTTCTCCGACGCCTTCAGGAGTAAGGCGACGGGTACTTTGTTGAAGCGTGCAGGCTCGCTTGAGCGCTACTTCAGGTGGGCCGTTGAGAACCAGGTTGCCAGCCCTCTTTCTGTCGGAGAATCAGTGATTTATGACTATTTGAGTTACTTGCGAAGTGCCGAGTCTGCAGCTACAAGCGCAAGCCACTTCGTCGAGGCACTCAGGTTTTTGCATTCAGTGGCGATCCTGTGTCGAATGGACCTCTCTAGCGTGCTGTCTGCAAGGGTCCAGGGGGTGGCTCGTGACATGTATTTAGGAAAGCGACCATTGGAGCAAAAGCCTCAGCTTACGGTTGAGATGGTTTCGGCCCTCGAAAGCTTCTGTTCTCGGGCCGATCCTCAGGATGCTGTCATCTGTGGGCAACTGCTCTTCTGCCTGCATTCTTGTGCACGTTGGTCTGACGGCCAACGCTTGAAAAGCATCGAGGTCCAGGAGCAGCAAGACGAGACTGTCCTGATTGCCGATGCCCTAGGAGCAAAGACTGCGACATCTAAGGAAGCTAAGACTCGCTTGATTCCCTACGTTGCTATTGGCACCGGCTTGAAGCACAGCTGGGCTAGTGTGTGGGTTCAGGCCCGAAAGGATCAGGGTTTCGAGTTTGGCGACTTCGCTCAACCTGCTTGGCTTGACAGTAAAGGATCTTGGGGCGAGGTGGCTATGGATGCTGCGCAAGCAACTTTCTTTTTGCAGGAGTTCCTCATGAAGGCGGGAATCGAGCAAGCGGAGGCCCTGAAGAGGTCTTCGCATAGTCTTAAGGCTACTCTCACCACTTGGGCGTCCCGATGCCCAACGGTGGCGTTCAGTCGTGCAGAGCAGCGGTTGCTTGGGCACCACATGAAACCGAAAGATCGGTCTCCATTAACATATTCGCGACAGGCGTTTACCAGCTTGTATGGCAAGGTGCTCCTCATGTTCCATCATATCCGAGCCGGGAAATTTAATCCCGACTTGAACGAAGTTGGCCGGATCGTCGAGGTGGCCAAGGCGGGGTCTGCTAGTGCTGATCAAGGCGGTGGCCTAAGCAATAACCCCGGGGGGCAAGTGGACAGCTCATCATCCAGTGAGTCGTCAGACGGCTCGGGAGATCGGGAGTCTGAGGCTGCAGGAGGCGAAGATCTCTTGCGCCGGGTGCCGTTTCGGAATCCCGTAGACCACTCCCTCTTAAAGGTTCATCGGCTGTCGGGCATCGTTCATCACCTGAAAGAGGGCGTTGATGCTCAGCAATTCTTTTGCGGTAGAATTTTAAGTGATCGGTATATGCCTTTCGCAAGGGCAGGTCCGGCTGCGGCCGATCCAGATTTTTGCTTGCAATGTCAAAGGGCCCGAGACGGCTGACGTGAGCCGAATCGTGAAAGAGAAAAAAGTATGGCGAGATCTTGTTACGCGGAATCCAGGCGAGAAGCAGCGACCTCCTTTGGAGAACCGTCGCGCCTCGCAACCGCATGTGGAGCCTTGCCTGGCTGTCGAGTGGGGAAGCTTGTACCCCGCTCGAGCGACGGCCAGAAACACCGGGGGGCTGCTCGTCAGGTACGGTACAGCTTTGTGATTAACTGCGTTAGGCAGAATCATCAGATTGGTGCGAAAACTCTTGTATCGCATCGCCGGGCCGAGAGCAGAGCGACAGCAAGTCTAGGGGACATGATTGCACAATTTGATGTGTTTCATGTGCGCATTGAGAATCTTTGCACTAATCCCTAGGAAACTTGAATCGAGCCTGCCATGGCTGCTGTTACCTTGGATTCCGAGGCAGCCTTCAGAGAGAGATGTTTGAAGATAGGAATGGAGGAAGCAACCCTCGATGTCCTCATCGCGAGCAACTACAAGACGTTTGGCCACTTGGCATTTGCGGTAAGTTCTTCGCCAAACACAGCTGACGAGGAGCAGGTGCAGCAGTGGGTCAATACAGTTTTTACTCAGCCTCCTACGCCCCAGCAGATGGCGTGCATCAGGCGGGCTTTATTCGAGGCTCAGGCCCTGTCGATTTCAGATATGAAGAGCCGTGTCGAGCCTCAGTCTGATGTGCTTGTTAGGAAGATGCCGGTTGCCGAACGCATCGCTCGTCAGTCTGCCCTCGAGCGTCGGTTGACAGGAGTGATCTTTGCTCCCGAAACCACTCCAGGGCATTCAGTGGTTGATCGTTTGGTAGATATGCTCGAGACAGGAGTCATGGCATATCTTGAGCCCCACAAGTACGTCTCGCGCTCGCAAGAGGTTCAGAATGTCAAATCAGAGAAGTCCTTGAGCATTACAACGGATGGCAACTTGAAGGTGAATGCAAAGGTGGAAACGTTAACGTGTGAGGCTAGCTCAGCGTTGACACTGCGCCAGGCGTGGTCGAGGCGGAGTATCGCCTTTGAGCTTGCAGGCCTCGCCACTTTCACCATCTTGGAGGGCTGGGTTCAGAAGATGTTCATCATGATGCAGAGGCCTCCTCCTGATGGTTACGTTAGCATAAGCTTGCAGCAGCTTTTGGCCGCGGATCGGCATTTGTTCACTGTTGCAGCGGATCGCCTGCTCGGTAACCTTCAAGGTGCGCCCGGGCGAGAAAAGCCTCTCGACACAGAGGTAAAGCGCTTAGCCGATTCGACCGAGGTGCTTCAGTTTCTTACTTGTCTTCCGAAAGCCACTAATCCTCCTCCTCTGAAACGTCCTTGGGAGAATGACAAGGGGGGCCAATGGAAGGCCGATGGCAAAGGAGGGGAGGGCAAAGGACGAAAGGGCAAGCACAGGGAGGGTAAGAGCACCGGCACCGCAATGCAGCTCCCTCCCGGAGCTAAGGCGAAGCATGACGATAAGCCAAATTGCTTTGGCTATAATCACGGAACTTGCAAGTTCAAAGTGAACAAGAAGAACAGATGCAGCCGAGGCTTTCACGTATGTTGGTTTTGTGGGAAGCAGCGCCCGGGCCATGAGTGCCCGACGGCGCCGAGCAACTGACCGACTAGGCGCGGGGCAGCATCTGGCCCCGGAGCTTTCGAAGCTGACAATGCAGATGCTTGCATGCCCTCTCCTGAAGTTCTTGCCGAATCATTGCTCGCCAAAGGCGTTTTGCAACAAGCTGACATCCTCAGGCTGTTTGCAGCTCTTCCTAGTGAAGTTGTGACGCGTAACACAACTGAGACCGAGGGCAGGGCCTTCGGTGTTGGTGCTTGGATTCACGGAGGCGTTGGCGGGTTGCGCCAGAACACACACCTTTTTCCTTTGACGTGCAGAGTCCTGTGTGCTTTTGTCAGGCAAAGGTGCGCCAATCACAATTTTTCGTCTTTGATCCTGCTTGAAAACAGTCAGGCTGGCTTACATACTGATTCGCACAACGATGCCTCTTCCTTAAATGCTGTCCTTGCCATAAGCAGCTTTGAGGGGGTGAGATTTTTGTAGAGAATGAGTTAGGCTCTCATCGCCGCACCTTTGAAGGCGAAACACTGCGAGGCGACATTTTGTCTCCTCAAGATGGCCCAGCCATCTTTTCTGCTAGGCGTTGCAGACATGCTGTGCTTCCTTGGCAGGGGTATAGGTTGGTGCTGGTGGCATATTCCATCAGGAGCATTGAAAGGTTGCCTGCCTCGGATCTTCAAACGCTCACGGCCTTGGGATTTCCGATTCTTTCCCCCTCGACGCGAGATCAAGCTGATCTCCAGGACCAGGGTTGCCCTAAAGGCCAGGCTTGTTTCTTGGAGCTTTTTAGTGGCTGCGGATCGCTTTCGCGAGCGTGCATGGATCAAGGATTTGACGTTGTTCCCATCGACCACCAGGCACGGGCACCTGTGGTGCCAACAGTCCAGCTTGACCTGACACACCACGGGTGTCAGGAGACTTGTTTCGGCTTGTTGCGCAGTCGCAATCCTTGTGCCATCCACATGGCTCCGCCGTGTGGGACCTGCTCGCGTGCTCGCGAGAGGCCAATTCCCGCATCAGCCAAGGCGCTTGGTGTGCCTGAACCTGTTCCCTTAAGGTCCGCCGACCACCCTTTTGGGTTACCCTCAATAGACCCGGGCTCCCTAAATGGCCAGCGCTTGCAGTCTGCAAACAAGTTGTATGACTTCTGTTTTCGCGTGCTCACCTGGGCTCTTGAGGCAGGGGCTCAAATCACCATCGAGAATCCTACCAATTCGTGGTACTGGTCAATCCTTGCCTCGCAAATCAGACAGTGCAAGGACAAGCAGCTCAAGGCCCAACTTGTTGAGATGCAATCAGTTGTCTTCGACATGTGTATGCATGGTGGCTCCCGCCCGAAATCCACCAAGCTTCTTTGCAGCTCGCATGCTTTTCAGTCGCTGGCCCTTGCGTGCGATAAATCTCACGAGCACCTTCCTTGGAGTGTCAAATGGGCCAAATCAGGTTGGCTCTTTAGTACACACCTCGAATCGGCTTACCCTGCGGTCCTGGCCGAGCGCATGGCCGCATGTTTCAAGACAGCAGCTATCAATGCAGGGTGGGCTTGCATGCCACCGCATGTGCCCAGGTTGCAGGCCCTCGCGGCCCAGGGCCGCCAGCATCGCCGTCACCCGCCGTTGATATCTGAGTTTGCTTTCATTCGCTCCATGCGCAGAGATGAGATCCCAACAACAGGCTGCAAAGCCTTACAGCCTCCAGTTGAGGGGGTGAGTTCGGGGAGCGAGCTTTGCAGGGTGGGGTTTTATCGTAGCCCAGAGCAATGGGTGGACGAAGCCGTCAGCCTCGCCCACCCGATGGATGCTGCTGCAGCCCTTCCGAAAATCACGTTGGATGCAATCTTAAAAAGCTTTTCTTCTGATCAGAAGTCTCTGGCCCTTAAGCGTAAGATTGCCTTGATGAAGGCCGAGATCCTCGCTAAAAAGCTTGAGAAGGATGAGGAAGCTTTGCATAGATCGATGCCAGATTGGATGCAAGCGGTTGTTCACGACAAGCGCATCCTCCTTTGGGAAGCGTTGCTCCGCCAGTCTGAGTATGATGACATGGAGGTGGTAGATTTCTTGAAGCAGGGTGTCCCGCTAGTTGGTACTTCGGACTGCCCGCCATGTTTTGAAACCAAGGTGAGACCAGCGGTTCTAACAGAAGCAGAGTTGAGAGCAGCAGCGCCCGACTTGCGTCGTGGAATGATGTCTAGGTCTTTGCATCAGGAACCGGAGCACACAGCCCATCTGCTGGAAGCCACCAGAGAGGAGCTCGCTTCGGGGTTCATCCAAGGACCTTTTACCGAGGAGCAGGTTACAGCCCATTTCGGACATAAGCATTGGCTGGCCATCCGACGCTTCATCATCAAGCAGGGGCAAAAACTTAGGCCGATTGAGGACTGCTGTGAAGCACATTTGAACGAAGCCTATGCAGCCACCATCAAACTTCGGTTACAAGATGCGGATTTCTTCGTCGCCATGGCGCTAGAAGTAGCTCGTCTATCGGGCAACAATCCAAAGGCCGCCCGGCCTTGGGTGGCTAAATGCCTCGATTTGGCCAAGGCGTACAAGCAGCTTCCTGTAGCAGGTTGTCACAGGGATCTCGCGGTCATCATGGTAGAAGAAGAAGATGGGAGTCACTCGTTTTACCTTAGCAGTTCCTTGATGTTTGGATCGACTTCAGCGGTCTTTGCATTCAACCGGGTCTCTAGGAGCATCTGGTGGCTCCTGACGAAGGTATTGCACATTCCGTGTTCCCATTTTTACGATGATTTCCCAATGCTCGTTCCTGAAGACATGGGTACAGAAACGGATGCCAGCGCCTCAAGGTTTTTGTCCCTCCTTGGGTGGCGTCATGCCAAGACTGGAGAGGGAGGTAAAGGTCATCCTTTCACGAGCCGGTTTGATGTTTTGGGGCTGTCAGCCGATGTGGCTGCGCTGCACCGTGGCACATTGGTTCTTTCCAATAAGGAAGGTCGTGCGGAAAAGATCCAAGATCTTCTTTGCATGGTATCGGATGAGGGCCGCATCACGAGGCATCAAGGACAAGTCCTCTTGGGGCTGCTTCGCTTTGCTTCAGGTTTCTACGGCGGAAGGACGTTGAGGCATGTATGTGCTGACCTCAACCGCTTGGTGTTTTCGCGAGATCATGTCACTCCCCAGAGGCTTCGAGTTTTGTGTGACTTGGCTTCTAAAGCATTGACGACTCTCCCGCCGAGGACGATTACCTTTGCAGCCTGCAAGCCCCTTGTGCACGTCTTTACTGATGGGTGCTGGCAAGACGGAGTTGCGGGTTTGGGGGCAGTAGTCTTCGACTGCGCAACGAGTCGCGGCCGCGTCTTTCAAGGCAGGCTCCCAGACAACCTTGTGAAAGCCTGGCTCAGTGAGGTTGGTGAGCAGATCATCGGCCAGATTGAGCTGTACGCAGTTCTGGTTATGAGATGCTTCTTGAAAGATGACCTAGCAGGCCGCCGCACGGTTTTCTGGTGCGACAATGAGGCTGCTAGGTTTGGCTTGATTCGAAATGAGAGCCACAGCCGCTCCATGGATGTCATGCTTCGCGCTTTCGCAAAGGTAGAAGATGAGAGCTTGAGTTTCACTTGGATCAGCCGAGTGCCGTCTGCTTCAAATCCTAGTGACGCTCCCTCGCGCGGGGATGGGCAGTCGGTGCTAAAGCTGAGTAAAGCCACTTGCGTAGAGCCTTTTCCAGACTTTCAGGACAACCAATCTCTGGCCATTTGATTCGTGGTGAGAGGGGATGTTCAGACTCATCAGGTCATCCGCAGAATCTGGACTGCAATCGGATGGCCAGGTGATTGACTCTCAAGTTCGTTACCGAAACTCGTCTGACCCCTTTCCGACTACGGAAGGAAAATGAAGGCCTGTCCGAGTGAAGCTGAGAAGGGTTGTGAGTGTGCTGTGCACGTAATTGTTTTATATATATTCAAGCAATTGTCTTGAAGATAATTGCTGAAATATCTTGGAATCCTGGAGCTTTTTATTACTATGCGAAGAAGGAAACTTTCAGCTTGCTGACATGACTTTCTTCTGCATGGTAACAGCGGTCTCTTTTGAGACAAGCGTAAAAATAGCTCCACCCAAGAAATAAAGTTTTAGAGCTCTTGGTTTGAAACAGCTCTTAACAGTTTTACCAAAACAAGTTTTACATGCTTGCTTGTTTTCGATTTGAGAGTTTTTCCTTGCACAGTTGAGTCTCATATTTCCTTGTCCGCGCCGCTTCATCAAGTTAGCGAAGCAGCAAAGGAAAAACTTTTTCCCGCCCACCCAACCCTGTGACATGGGGGGATGTTCAGACTCATCAGGTCATCCGCAGAATCTGGACTGCAATCGGATGGCCAGGTGATTGACTCTCAAGTTCGTTACCGAAACTCGTCTGACCCCTTTCCGACTACGAAAGGAAAATGAAGGCCTGTCCGAGTGAAGCTGAGAAGGGTTGTGAGTGTGCTGTGCACGTAATTGTTTTATATATATTCAAGCAATTGTCTTGAAGATAATTACTGAAATATCTTGGAATCCTGGAGCTTTTTATTACTATGCGAAGAACCCTTCAGTCATGTTCTTGAGAGTCTGCTGTGCTTACATGTCCTTTTAAGGGCT